ACACACAGTCCCTGGGAGAGGAATTTCCCACTGAGAAAAAAAGAATGTCCAGTACTTCCAATTTAATCCTCTCAACTTTCTCTTACAAGTGTAAATTAAGTTCACAACTCCCTTGTAAGAACTGGTCTCACAGCAGACAGACCAGCATCAATTGGCATTACAGATAAGAAAGAGAAATACGTGACCCCATGGGTATATAAAGATGGGTCCAGCACACACTCACTTTGAGTGTCATTCTACCCTCTACCTGCTGGTCGGGTTAGGTGTTTGACCTCCCGAGGTTCTATGGGGACGCCCACCTCGTATTTTCGTCTTTCCTAGGAATTGAGGGACTGGCCCTGGCCTGACACGCTGGAGTCGAGAGGCACAGAATGAGGTAAAAATTGTACCTGGATGTGGTCCTCTGTCTTAAGTGTACACGTAGAAAGAGTAAGCTGTTACTTGGTACCATTATTTCTATTTTCCTATCTTTATCTTCTTTGTAACCGTTTTAAGATCTATATTTTGCTAATAGTTAAGAAATAGAACAATAGCCATTGCAACCATATGATTTATAAGCTTCCTCAATAAACCTGTAACTGTTTAAGTTTTAACCTGACTCCTTCAGTTGCTGTAACAGAACCAGGCACAATTTAAAAGAACTTCCGCCGGTCTTAAGGGACAGATATAGGGAGAGCTTGGGCGTTTGGATTTGTGTCACTCCCAGGTGGCAGATCCATTGGGGCACTTCTCAGCCTCCCCCAGGCTGCCAGCAGAGCAGTAGCGCTGGGACTCGTAGCCCCTCCAGGAGCAGTGCTGGTGTTACCACTTTAATCTATGGAAATGTATAATTGGGCTGGAGTTTATTTGGATTTTAAAATGGAGTCTGTGGGTCAGCCTTTTTGGTATACAATCCTGTCAACCTAACCAAAGGAGGGGGGCGAGGGGTTTCTCTGTCTAAAGATTCCCTCCACTTACAGGGTTGCACCCATCACCAAATGCTTTGCACTCCATCCCATAAGAGCTGCACACGATCCAAAAAGCTCTGCACACTGCCCAAATGGTGTTGCACTCAGCCCTACTAACATCTTCCCTCCTTTTTGTCTATAAATACCCTAGCTGTGATTCTTTCGGGTTCAGTCTTTTGGGTTCAGCTTGTGTCATTATGTAGGTATGCTAGTGGTATGTTTTCCTGTTTGTCATTACATGTATGGAAGAGTGATTGAATAGTGTGACCATGTGGGTGTAGGTAGTGGTTGTCCTGCCAGTGGGCTTAGTTTCCTGTGGAGAAGTCCCGTGTAAACAACAGTCCAAGCGCAGGACTGGCTACTAAGGGTTTACTTGACGCCCTATTGGATTAACACGTAGAGAGCGGAAGGCCCTTCGCTAAGGAGTCCAGATAGCTACACCTGCCAGTCTGTAGGATAGGATCTGGAGTATCATCGCAGGATCACCTCACTGTTCCTCTGTTGAGGCTTCATATTAGCTAGAGCATAGAGGTTGTGAGCTCCGAAACCTGTGTTCAATCACGTGGGTGTAATGTATATTTTGTGTACTGAGAATATTCTATCATCTTTTCTTCTGGGATAGGGTGGGCAAACTGATATTTCACGTGTTGACATTTCAGATTCTTTACAATATATGGTTTGGCCCCATATCTTGTCTCCAATTCATTTGTTTTAAAACCCATAACTGGTGATAGATACGGCCTCAGGCAATCTCGTCTTTTGCGACTTGAGACAATTAACATTTCCAAGTGTCAGGGCGTGCCTAATTAGATCTCTTAATTAATCATTATTGCATCCCAGGGTAACACTGGGGTGAGAAGAGGTGTGGGGAAGGGCAGAGTCTCTGCCCTGCCTGGCCCAGCTCTTTGCCTGCAGACTGGAGCTGTAGCACTGGCTCCTCGCTGCACGGGGGAAGGGAATGGCAGGACTGAACTCCCACCCTGTGAGCCAGTAAAAATAGGCTCAGGTGCCAAGGGATGCAGCCCACTGTGTTAATCTTTAAGGTGCCACAGGATTCCTCATTGTTGTAGTTCAAGTTCAGAAGCATTTTTGTAGCTCAAGTATACAGGCAGTCCCTGGGTTACGTACAAGATAGGGACTATAGGTTTGTTCTTAAGTTGAATTTGTACGTAACTCGGAACTGGCTCCAGATTCAGCCGCTGCTGCTGAAACTGACCAGGGGCTGACTACAGGAAGCCCAAGGCAGAATTGCTTTGCCCCCAGCTTCCTGGAATCAGCCACTGATCCGTTTCAACAGTGGCTGAATCTGGAGCCTGGGACAGAACAGCTGGGGCACTGCCGAGTAGGTCCCCCCAGGACCAACCCGGCAGCACCCCAGCTGCTCTACCCCAGGCGTCCACAACAAAAGCCTGGTCTGCTGGGAGAGG